GCTAGAACCACATTTCGGGAGGTCACATATCACTATCAAACTTGTGGACTTGGTGCCAAACGTTACCAATCTTGCTCTTGCCTTCTTTCCCTTTCTGCGTGCAGTACAAAACTCCACTCCATACCCTTGTTCCCGAGCCAAGACTGATCAGTAAACAAGAATCCCAACACATCAACCCCCGGCTCAAATGGTACAAGCAACAGTCCACTGAATTTGGTTGACAGCCCGCCCTTCTACCCAAGTCCGTATGTGAAACCATCCGCACATCGTCCCATTATTTGTTTGCACTGTTCACTGATCCCACATCCAGATGGATCGAGGGTACCGGTGACTGGGCCGCCGCTTACGAGAAGGCGCGTGCTTTCGTCAGCCAATTGACCCTTCTTGAGAAGGTCAATCTCACAACCGGTACGGGATGGATGAGTGAGGCCTGTGTTGGCAATGTCGGCTCTATCCCGCGTCTCGGCTTCGACTCCCTTTGTATGCAAGACAGCCCTCTGGGTATCCGTTTCGCAGACTATGTTTCTGCCTTCCCTGCTGGTGGCACTATTGCCGCATCGTGGGATCGCGGCGAGTTCTACCGTCGTGGATACCAGATGGGCAAGGAAAATCGTGACAAGGGTGTTGATGTTCATCTTGGTCCCGTTGTTGGTCCTCTTGGTCGCAACCCCAAGGGAGGTGTACGTTCAAGCTAAATAATTCCTTAGGAAAAGCACGAGTCTAACATAAATCAGCGTAATTGGGAAGGCTTCTCTCCCGACCCAGTCCTGTCCGGTATTGCTGTCGCCGAAACTATTCGCGGTATTCAAGATGCTGGTGTTATCGCTTGCACGAAGCACTACATCATGAACGAGCAGGAGCATTTCCGTCAACCTGGCGGCTTCGAAGAATTGCCCTTTGTCGATGCTCTTAGCTCGAACTTGGACGACAAAACTCTCCACGAATTGTACCTGTGGCCCTTTGCCGACGCTGTCCGCGCCGGAACTGGATCCATCATGTGTGCCTACAACAAAGTCAACAACTCCCAAGCCTGCCAGAACTCCTATCTCCAGAATTACATCCTAAAGGGTGAGCTAGGATTCCAGGGATTCATCTTGTCTGATTGGGACGCTCAGCACTCCGGTGTCTCCTCGACGCTTGCCGGTCTCGACATGACCATGCCCGGTGACACAGACTTCAACTCTGGTGCTTCCTTCTGGGGAGCCAATCTCACGCTGTCTATCATCAACGGAACGGTGCCCCAGTGGCGCCTTGACGACGCTTGCCTTCGTATCATGGCCGCGTACTACTACGTTGGTCGCGATGAAGTCAGCACTCCAGTCAATTTTGATAGCTGGTCCCGCGATACTTATGGATACTCTCATGCCATGGCTCGCGAAGGCTACGGTTTGATTAACCAGCATATTGATGTTCGTGCCGATCACTTCCGTTCCATTCGTCGCAGTGCAGCCAAATCGACCGTTCTTCTCAAGAACAGCGGTGTTCTGCCCCTGTCAGGGAAAGAGAAGTGGACTGGTGTATTCGGAAACGACGCGGCGGAAGGTGAGAATGGACCCAACGGATGCGCAGATCGTGGCTGTAACAACGGCACCTTGGCCATGGGTTGGGGCTCAGGGACAGCTGACTTCCCCTACCTCGTCACACCTTTGGAAGCCATCAAGGGCGAGGTAGCTGATCATGGTGGCGTTGTCACGTCCGTGACTAACAACTGGGCACAAGCTCAGATTGAGACTTTGGCCAAGCAAGTCAGCGTTGCCATTGTCTTCGTCAACTCGGACTCTGGTGAAGGCTACATCACCGTCGACGGTAACATGGGTGATCGCAACAACCTCACATTGTGGCAAGACGGCGAGGGCCTCATCAAGCATGTGACTGCCAATAACAACAACACTATTGTTGTTATTCACTCTGTTGGACCGGTTCTTGTCAACTCCTTCTACGACAACGAGAACGTCACCGCCGTTCTTTGGGCTGGTCTGCCTGGACAGGAGTCTGGCAATGCCATTGCTGACATCTTGTACGGCCACGTCAACCCTGGTGGCAAGCTGCCTTTTACCTTTGGTAGCGATGCTGCCGAGTACGGCCCAGACCTCATCTACGAGCCCATTGCCGGCGCAGCCAGCCCGCAGGACAACTTTGATGAGGGCGTGTTCATTGACTACCGAGCGTTTGACAAGCAGAACATCACGCCCGTGTACGAGTTCGGTTTCGGTCTCTCCTACACCACGTTTGAGTACTCGGACATCAAGGTCAACAAGATTTCAGCGGGCGCTTACACACCCACCACTGGCCAAACCAGCGCTGCTCCTACCTTTGGCAATTTCAGCACTGATCCTGCTGACTACCAGTTCCCGGCCAGTATCTCCCGCGTCCGCACGTACATTTACCCTTACCTCAACTCGACCGATCCTCGTGCCGCCTCTGGTGACACCGACTACGGAGTCAACTACACCTGGCCTGAGGGTGCGGTCGATGGCTCACCTCAACCTCGCATCGCTGCTGGTGGTGCTCCAGGTGGTAACCCAGAATTGTGGGATGTGCTCTTCACCGTTGAGGCCACCATCACCAACAACGGCAGCCTCGCAGGTGACGAAGTTGTACAGCTGTACGTGTCCCTCGGTGGCCCAGAGGACCCCAAGATTGTTCTCCGTGGCTTCGATCGTCTATCCATTCCAGCTGGACAGAGCTCTACTTTCCACGCCGACATTACGCGCCGCGATGTGTCGAACTGGGATACAGCCAGCCAGAACTGGGTGATTTCCGAGTACCCCAAGAAGGTGTATGTCGGTGCCAGCTCGCGCAAGTTGATTCTTGAAGCAGACTTGGATCTGAGCGATTACCAGTCCTGAAACAAGCTGGGAAGAAGTAGAAGAAAGCGTAATCTACAGGTAAAGGAAACCTAGTTGGACTTGGTAATGAGGTTAGATGACATGGGTCAGGCTGTATAACGACCCTTGGAAGATATTATTAATGCCATTGCTACGTACATGGATGAAGTGCCATCGCAGTTTGCATCATGTTGTGCCAACCTTTACGTGCATTGTCTTGTACCGGTCTGCATGGAGTACAGCGTAGAGTAGTGTGTACTCAGTACAACAGAACAGGTATCCTTTGTTCTAGAATCATCGATGCAGTTGCAGAACGGCAGATGGCCGGCAGCATGTAGGCGATGCATATCACAGCCACCAATAGAATGAGGGGGGTGGTGGCCTCGGCCTCGGCGCACCTGTCCATGACGTCGGAGCGTCAACAACGCGTGTGGAAAAGATGGGAAACTTGTGACGAGCTGCAAACAAACCATGGCCAAGGCTGGATTCAGAAAATAGGATGGTGGATATGTGTGTGATTCAATGCATGCGAGGTCATGGTACGGTAGAATAGGCACAGGGTAGCATTGCGTGCTGATGCAGCCAGCTGTTGGTAGGATTCATTTTCGTATTGGGGTGTTTTTAGAGAGAGAGAGAGAGAGAGAGAGAGAGTGTGTGTGTGTGTGTCTGTGTGCGTTGGGTCGTTCGTGATTGCCGGATGAGTAAGCGAGGGCGATGACGGCTCAAAGAGGGAAGGATTGGCAATAGCTTCGTGTGATGTCAATGTTTTGTGTGTGCGTGGAGAGAGAGAGAGACAGTGTGTGTGTGTGTAGGTGTGCGGGAGAAAGAGCGATGGCTGCATGCGAACACTGGCGTCATTGTTTGCGGGATTCGCTTCCCTCAAACGCGACCTGGCCAGTAGCCCACACACACGCACACACACAGTAGTTGCCGCTGCTCAGAAAGAAAGTAATGAGTTGCTGGCTGTTGTGTGAATGCAAGTCCCGTGGTAGAGATGCAGTCATGGTGAATGAATACTATGTACAGAGTCCTATAGATAGAGTCCACGCGCATATGATGCAAGCAAAAGCTGGCTCCAACCAAGCAATCTACGGAAGGCGCGTCGGGTCATGCTGTGCAGAGACGTAAAGGGAAAAAAAGAAGGCCAGGTTTCGTAATCAGAAAGGGAGCTGTGATTGGCCAAAGTTGCGCTTATGCGCTTGTGGAGGGAAGAAGAGACACGATTTCTGCACTGGAGAGTGTCTTCAGAGCAGCAAACATGGGAACAGACTGCAGCGTGTGGCCGACGAGTTGTCCGACCAAGGAACAAGGGAGCCTACTAACAGTAGAGTAGAGTTCCTACTCTAGTCACTGGCTGCTTTGCTGGGCACCACCCGGCCCATGGTCTAAATTGACCTGTGCAGAACCCGGCTGCGGCTCTGCCACCCTCCTCTATCGATAGCAAGTCATTGCCCGCGACCACAACTCCAGACGACCCTTTCACACCCTCACACCCTCACACCTCACACCTCAGCTCGCCTTTTGCTGCTGCTGCTGCTGCTTCTGCTGTTGCCATCGCGTTTCCCCCTTTGTGCTGCCACCCCGATTGATGTCCACATCGACAACGGCCACGCATGCGCTAGCCCTCCTGATCCTCGTCGCGTCGTGGAATAACAAACAGTCGAAACGTCGACGTGCCCCGACGACCTCTTGTCTCCCCATTCGTCACCACCTGCAACATCTCCACGACCACGACCACGACCACGACCACGACCGCCACCGCCACCCGCTGCTCGCCGCTTCCACTCTGTGCCGACTACACCAAATCCTCCAGGGAACCCGACACCGACGCTCGTGGTAAGCTTCGCGGTAAGCTGCATCCCTCTGCCGCTCGAGTCGCAGTGGGGCGAGGGTGCCATCCTAACCCGGCACCTGGCTCATTACTACTGCAGTCGTGCATCCCAGTACCGCTCTTGAGCACGAGAAATATTCAGCACACTTCATAAAGCCTCCCAACACCTGCGCTTGCTGATACTTTTCGTCCCTTCCTCCAGCCTTCGTTTTCTGTACAGGCAAAATGTCGACCCGTCGCAGTGGACTCCGCTCGAGACGAGACCCGCAGCAACAATCGGATGCCGACACCCCAGATGCCACACCTTCGCGCAAGCGCAGGAGAGTAGGCAGCCCAGCCAACTTGGTCGCCGAGAACCTGCACTCACACCTGGCACAATTGAACGGCGCCCAGGACGTCCCCTCCGCTGCCGACGCTCCGCGCACCCGCATCACCGAGTCGGTCGCAAGCAATGACTCCAACGAAACGTTGCCCAACGGCGGCGATGCAGACAATCCCGTGGACCCCGTCGAGCGCCAGAACATCATTATCGCCTCCCTTCGCGCCCCGCAGTACGTGCCCAATGCTGCCATTGACTACGCCAACGACGTCCAGGCGCGTCGCAACGAGGGCAAGAATATTCCGGCTTTTGCCAAGATTGCTGCGCGCGACTGGTGCTTCTTTGTACAGGACACCCGCGTCCTCATCGGTCGTGCAGACTCCACCATCCGTCCCAACCCGCCTGCCTCGCAGACGGATGCATCTGGACTGCCTACGAGCGATGCCCCACCCTCCAACTGGGGAGTCCACATTGATCTCGGTCCCGAACGCCAAATTTCCCGTATCCACGCTGAGATCAACTTTGATTCTGCCGACCAGAAGTGGTACATCCACGTCAATAGCCGCAATGGACTCAAACTAGACGATCGCAGCTTGACGCGGGGCGACGTTGCACAGCTTCATTCCGGTATTTGTATCGGCATCATGGGCACACAAATGCTCTTCCTGCTCGCAAATCAGGTCGATCATTTCCATCCCATGCTGTGGCGCCAAGTCAAGAACGAAGATGCCACCTTCTCCGATAATGATGGCAACCCACCCCCGAAACCTCACCAGCATGCGCATCCCAGTGGGCCAACGCCAAAGCGCGAGCAGTACGACCCATTTCCGCCATCCTCTCACCCTCGCAACAAGCAGCAATCTTCGCAAGCCTACTACAATCAGATGACTTCGACCCCAGGCCGTCCGCTACCGGGCACCCCTTTGACGGCTCGCCAGGAAAAGGAAATCCGCAGTAAAGGATCACCCGCTACCTTCTCACGTGGATTGATGATGGACTCTACCGACGAAATCGACTACAGCCAAGACTCGGCCAAGGATATCAAACCCCCCCACAGCTACGCTCAGCTCATCGGCCAAGCCATTTTGAGCAGTGACGAAGAGATGCTTACTCTTGCAAACATCTACGACTACATCAAGGTGCGATATGCTTTTTTCAGACATACCAACGGCGGCTGGCAAAACTCGATCCGACACAATCTCTCTCTCAACAAGTCTTTTGAAAAGGTCGCTCGGCGCACTGACGAGCCAGGAAAAGGCATGAAATGGAAAATCTGTGATTCCGAGCGTGAAGAGTTCATCAAGAAGCAGCTCTTGAATCCGCGCAAGGGCGGTGGCGTCGCCATTGGATATCGTTTGGATGGCTCTGGGCCTAGTTCACCTGCACTTGGACACCGAGGACCTCCTTCAGAAGCCACGGAACGTCTTATGGGAGCCATGGAGCGTGACTTTCAGAACCCAGGTGCTCGAGTCAAATCGCCGCCTAGATCAGCCACACCACCACTTTCGACTGTGCCCATGGCTACTGAGTCTTATACGCCCGATCGCGGCCCTCGTCCCTATGGCGGCTTCAAGCAATCTCCCACGATTCGCGATCAGGATCGGTTCGTTACGCCTGCAAAGCGACTGGTTTATGGAGCTAATGAAGGGCCTGCATATATGAAGATGGATAGTCATGAGCGAAACTTGGAATCCTCACCTGGCGTTGACCCTGTTAAACCCAGTGTTGCTGGACTCAAGGGCGAGGCTGCCAATTCACCACCAACGCTTTACTCTGACGCCGCCTCCAACAACACCGGTAGCAATCAGGATGCCAACCGAATGAACAATGCGCTTGTGACGCCGCTCGTGACGCGCCATGCGCCCACTCTTGCGCCTCCCAGTACCGCTCAGATGCCCAGTCAGTATATGAACTTCTCCAGCCCAGCGCCTTTTTGGAAGTTTGTGAATCTCCCCAGCACACCTGCGCGCGGGCCACTCGAACTAAGTCCCATCAAGCTACAACCCACTGACGACAAGGACGGCGAGGATGATTCCGCCCAGCCCAGCTCACCGCCCATGCTCCCGCACGACAGTGCAGAGCCCGAGGATGAAGAGGCAGAAGACAACAAGGCGGAAGAGGAAGATGATACGGTACCCGACAGTCCCAGTCGAACCGTCTCTCGGCCCGCCAGTCGCCGCGAAATCCCCCACCAGCGCTCTCGCTCCAATTCCAACGTCAACGGCCTCGGCATCATCAACAATGGCGGCATGGTGCGTGGAGCCAGCCTCACGAGTTTCGAGGAAGAAGCCGAGCCCGAGGAAGAAAGTTATGACTTGTCAAAGTAAGTTGCTTTACTTGTCCTCCTCCTTTCCCCACCCCCTCCCCCTTTTCTTTGCTTTCTTGATCTCGCCCCTCCTAGCTTCAGCCGCTAACATGATGCTTTTTTCCTCTTCGCACAGGGGCTTCCAGAAAATCGGCTCGTTTCATCGCAGCATGGCGCAGGCTCACGGTATTGTCGGGCGTGTGGCTACACCACCGCCTTCGTTACCTAGGACCAGTGTACCGGCGAATATGTAGGCGTTTGCCGCCTATTTTGTTGTTTTGTTTTTATTTTTAACCCTGAGTCTTTTCTTTTGGGACTATATTGTACACTACTTGAACATTTTTGGACGTTTGTTTTGATTTGCTGTTTGTTGGTGGTTGCTGTCTGTGTTTTATGCTGTATTGGGGTATGGATATGCCCATGGGTATGGATATGGATATGGGGTATGAATATGGCTTTGGCTATTTTACTATGACTATGAATATGACTCTGGATATGGATATGAATATGGCCATGGTCATGGCTGTCGTCATGCGTCTGTGCGGTAACTCTGCTTCAAAATCTCCCACCTACCATGTAGTTCTTTCTAGTTGGTCGAGTTATATAAATTGTATGTCTGTCCATGAACCTATACGTTCTCTTTGCTTGAGATTATGTAGCTGTCCTTTCCATCATCCTCATCCTCATCCTCATACTAAACCCACACACCCAAATTCCACCCACATCTCTCACCTAGTGCGCACGTACCAGACCTGCAAATCGCGAGTATTTGGGAATCGCTAGTTCGAGGCACGTATTTGCATCAACGGAGAATCTTTGTTTCTTTTTCTACTTCTCAGTGCGAGGGGATGGGTGAGTCTTGTGAGTTGGTAAGGGGGTGCGGTGGGTGGGCTATTTGTTGCTTGTTGAGTTGCTGGATGGCTGGGTGGCTGTGTTTTTGCTTGGATGGTAGCGGTTGGGTGATGGGTTAGGGGTGGAGAGGAAGGGTATGGCAGGCGTGTGTGTGGGTATGTACTTTCAAACTCCAAGTCCTTTCCTGCTCGATATGCGTAGACGTGAACGTCACCCATTCAATCCCTTGTCCGGCAAGCTCGGATACATGCACGTACAACAGAGTCCTTAGATCGAGCGCAAACGAGAGCATGGCGAATGCTCGTCTTGTTTGGTGATTGAAAGCCATGGTCTACGACAATGAACAAGATATATAAGCGCTATGCTGTGCCCATGGAACATCACAGCATGCTCGTCTCATAGAGCCATGCTACCCAGACGAAAAAGAACAAAAAATCTCCAGGACAAAGAGATGAAGAGCACGATTCTGGCTCTTGGGAGAAATCCGACAGCCGTGTGGAGGCATAAAATAGTAGGCGCGTACGGCGCGTACATTACCTTTGAGAGCGCGCGTGTACTGTACGTCAGCAGGCGGCTGCGTGAGACGTTCTAGACGCACATGGGCGGCAGGACGGCCAGGGAGTGGATGTTCATGGTGCAAGGAGGCAAGGTAAAACGGGGATAGGTATGGCGAAGCGCCTGGGTTGGACCGAGAAATGTAAGCCGGTAGCCTGTGCGTCTGGATCTGTTTGGAGAAGGAATCCGTAGCCATGTACAAAAGGCGGAAGAGAGACGGGGTGGATGTCTACATACGTACTGTACATACTTGTATGGAGCGGGTAGTTCATGTACAAGGTATGCCTACCTGCAGTGTGGTGGGAGATGGATGGTTGTTGATGTGATGTGGCAAAGGGGCCACTCGACCCTTGCAAGGACGCGTAAAGAATTGCGGATAGCGTAAAGGTTCGAGACCCCCGGCGATCATGGTCCTTTATGTATCTGATGTCCCATGTACGGTAGCTTGAAGTGGGATCGATGGTGTTGCGAGGTCCGATGAGATGGGCTCCCGACTTCCCCGGATGAACCTAAGTGCACAGGGCGTGATCATCTAGGGGGCAATCGGCATAACATGGCAATGTGAAGCAATGGTGTCCATAACAAGATGATCAAGGTGATGACTAGACCTCCGTCTGAGTGTGTGTACTTATGAAAGAGGCTGAGAAACGCGGCCACCCTGCCAGGGCTGCCTCAACAGTTTCTCGAAGATGGCCCTCTTGCCTGGGTGGGGAAGAATGGTGGGAAGCCGGTGGTCCAATGAGCTCTTCCACAATAACATGTATGTTCTTCAGAAGAAAAAGAGGAACTTTGAAGACAATGAGGCTTGACAGCAAGCTGGGAAGAAAATATAAGAAGATGTATGCCGACAATGAACTCAAGCTGCGAGATGCAATCCTATGGATACGGTAGAAATCTTATGTAAGTGCTGTAGTCATCCATAGCCAAGAACAGAGACGATTTCTACAGTGCTCGAGAGTGGGCTCGCTGCTCAACGAAGAAAAGTCGATTTTTTCCCCTTGCTCTACTGCAGGGCTGGCTGCTGAAGAAGGATGAGTCACTTGGCTCCACATTGCGATGCACGCAGCTGCGGCCAACGCGCTTTGCCGGCAGACTCTGAAACAGCTGCGCGGTGCATGCATGAATGCTAGGAACAGTCATAGGGAGGGGGTGGTGATAGCGATCATGAGCTTTTCGAGTGGGTTGAGGTGACGATGGTTGTGAAAGGAGATCAATGGCATGGAGGCATGGAATTGGCACGTGCTTTTTCTTGGGCACCATGACTTCCACTTGACGACCCTTGTCGAGCTGAGAATGATGATGATGCCTGTACTATAGGAGTATGCAGTATGGAAAGGTTCGGATAAGCAAAGGGCTTGAGGGGATTGCACCATCTCGGGAGTCAACACCATGCACAACATGCAACATGCACGACAACCTCGTTTGTCAACGGCCGTTTTGAAGATCTGCCATGCTCGAGCGAAACATGATGGGCCTGTGTGGTTATTGTACAATGTTATAGGTAATTGTTGTGGGGCCGCCACAGCCGTCGACAAAGGTGTCCGTGTGTTGCCCCGCGCTTTCGTTTCTTCTGAGGCGCAGTCAGCATCCAGGATGCAGGTCTCGGGGTCGCCTTTGCTGCATGAGATGATGGTAAGTAGGTAGTCGACTTTGAAACATGGCCATGTGAGATGCTTTTGATGACAGCGCTACCATGGGATGATGACTGGCCGCCGCTGGGGGTGGGGGGAGACTCGGGAGAGGGTCACGGGCACTTGCATACCTATGGAGTCACTATCTGACGATTATACCTCTAGTTTGCTTTGCCTTGCTTCACTCGAGAAGACGATATGCCAATCGCCCTGTCGAGGCCAGAGAGAAAGACGGAGATGAAACGAAGCTGCGTGTGCACCCCCCCCGTCCATGCCGTTGCTCCCCCACGCAGCGTGGGTAGCGACCGTTTTCTCGTTTCTCGTTTCTTCCGGATGATCAGTGTCTTCGGTGGGCGCGAAATCCCCATACCTAGTCGAGGGCAATACGATCAGGTATGGCTAAGGGTATATACTGTATCAGTAGGAGCCGGCATTTTAAAAAGACCGAATGCTACAGTGCCTACGGTAGGTAGTAGGCAAGTACACACAGTTGACAGTGCACCATGGCCGTCTTGGGAAGCGAGTGAAGGTCGTCGGCAGCTCCGGGAGAGATCTGCGTCTGTTCCCGGCTCGCACGTCCGTCACCACCCGCCTTGCACAGCCACAATGTACAAACACACTAACTGCACTGCCGTCATGTGGCTTCGGCGAATCGGCTCCGAAGCGAAAGTGGCGCATGCATCGCGCATGAAGTGAAGCATACACGACCACGACCACGACCACCATGTTTTCCAGCTGTGAGCTGCCCTGTCCCTCTGCCTGATGTCGTCATACAGCCTGAACAGCCTGAACAGCTGCCAACTGCTCTGCGCATCCAACACGCACATGTCCTCGTCCTTGTCGAGCGCTCTCTTCTTTGGTCTTGCTTCAGCACGCGCCCAAGCTACTCGACCATGGAACGCAACGGCAAGAGTATGTACAGTGGCTAAGTAGAGTACTCTACACAGTACTCTATGCCCTTCCCGCCCCCGTCTGGACCGTCCGTCCCAGGCCAGGGCCAGGGTACTGTGTTAGTATTGTGCGTACTCCTAGTAGTAGTACTCTCGGACATGATGAAAGTCTGCCATCATGTGAGCGCGGGGCCTCTGCTACAGTAACTACTCTACTAGAGTAGACGCTTTTCCGATCCGGCTGGCCAACCCTGCTCCCATCCCTGCCCCACCAGCTGATTGGGCTGGCAGTCGTCAGCCCATTTCTAGTTCCCAACCAACGTCGACCTGTAGAATGTCCAAGACCCAAACCCTCTAGGAGTACTCTACACCCACATCCCATCTTTTGCCAGAGACACCACCCCTACTTCTCCAGACAAGTGCAAAAACCCTCTCCCCCTCCGTTTACCCGCAATCCTCCCCAAAAGGGAAGCAAAGCCGCTCGCCGTGGGCCTCTCGATTGGGCATGGTCTGCTCATGGCTTCTGGAATCCGCCCCATGTTGCAAAAAACCAGATGCAAGAGCCCAACCAATGCCGACTCGTCTGCAAGGCTCGCCTGCATGTATGTAGTATGTACTATGTAGTATCCAGCCATGCAGGTAATGCAGGCATAGTAACCGTTCTTGGGGGCAACTACGGCTCGCTGTGAGTTTCTGCACGCCCTCGAGCCAGTTTCTTCATCCGCACATGCATCAAGGTCAACAACCAGGAGCTCAGCTGCCATGGTCTTGCTATGCTACTATCGCATAGAGTAGCACCCAGAAACACCTGCGGCTGTCTTCTGTCCCTTGCTGTCCCTTCTCTGCTGCCATGTCCACCCAAGAGGCTGATCAGGCGCCTCTCTAGAGTTCATCTCCGTGGCTGCATGGCCGGATTGGCCTCTGCACACACAACAATGGTAGTCCTGAGGGGAAACGCGAGGGAAACGCAATCTTCGAGCGTCGTAGCCGTGGCCGTGGCCGTGGCCGTGGCCGACAGTCAGGGCTTCAGCTAGAGTAAGAGCCGACTGGAGCTGCAGCAGTAGACTCTGGCCCATATGCACGTTAAACAAGCTCAATGCGCAGTGCAGCCAAACGGGGCGCAGTGTGCATCCCATCCTATCCTTGCCGACCGTGGGCCACGGCGGGCTTACCATGATCGACGGCTGTAAGCTCTTAAGAGAGATCCCACCCCTCCTTCTCCCACTAGCCCGTCCCCTACCCTCACCTCCCACCTTCGCCATCCCCCCCTCCTCATTCGCCCGTCTCCCTTCTTGTCTCTTCCTCTGACCGGGCGACCTCGCACGAACAGAAAAAAAAAACAAAAACTATACAGCCGCCGGAGACCATTTCTTTAACTTCTGTTTTGTGTTCCTTTGTTTCTTTCCTCCTGGAATCCGTCCCATCTACCTAATACCTATCGCATCGTCTCGCTTACGCACCGACCACCAACCACCCGTCATGCCCATCTCATTACTACCCGCTTCGGCCGCTGCCTTTGCGCCACGATCAAACGTCAACGTCGTCCTGGCATCAAAACCTGAGCCATGGTTAACACAGACTCTCAAGAGGGTGAACCGGGTGAAGCGTCCATTGAACAGCGTACAGCAACACACGCGCTGTCTGACAGAAACACTCTCGGGACCAAACGCTATGTGGTCATTGTGTTCGATCATGGTACCAAAGGCCCCGGATTCCGAACTGCGCAAAGACTCGAATCCTTTGGTCGAGGCCCTGTTCAACTACCAGCTCATCCACATTGAGGCCTACGTGGTACATGTCGACATGGTTTCACAACATGAGGTTGCATTCAAGCTTACACCAGAGACCATTGAAGCGCTTATCGAGTACCACAAGGACATCTACTCGGTCGACGTGTCTGCCAGCACATGGGAATGGGCCGAGAAGGAGCAACAGCTGAAGAAACTTCAGGAGGGATTCGTTCAGGCCGTCAACCGCTACGTATTCCGAACTGGGGTGCGGGCCCTGGAGGGACTCGAGGAGGATGGCGCCGGGGAGCTGCTCGAGGGAAGAGGAGAGGACGTCAAGAATGCCATCATGGGCTTGTTCCTCCCGCTCCTACCTCCTCCACCCAGGATCGTCGACGTCGTACGATCGGCCCCTCTGCTTCCGAGCTCGCCCGGATCTGCCAACTGGTGGGCGCCAACACAGCACATGCCACAGTCGCACTCTGCATCCATGGACTCATGGAGAGTGGTCCCATCGACACCCAGTCCCACCATTACGACTTGCAGTGAGACCGGACCGTCCTTCTGGAGCACTATGGGTACCATGGGCTTCGAGGCCATCCAGCTACCATCCCCGACGCCATCCTTTAGCCAACCATACAATTGCACGAGCCCGTACACATCAAGTTCGTACTACAGCCCACCCCCAGCATCTGCACCGATACCTGCTTTGCCTCTGCCAAGTGTTTTGGCCCAGCAGTGCGGGTCGAGCGCCGCCATGCACCACAGCTATGGCGGCTTCGGATGGGAGACGGGATTCGCACCACAGTACGCCGCTTTCACCTAAGTGGACGAGGTTTGTGTCTTTTTGTGCCTCGTCCCTCTGTCGATGGCTGGGAAGCGTGGACTTGGCCCGTCCCGTTGTGCTCTCCCTTACTGCGCAGGTTGCTACCCCCAATCTTGCGACGTTCTGACACGAAACGAAAGCGATATGAACGACATGATGTGCAACCCAACCACATCATACCAACCGGCATGGGACGGCGTTTCTCGATATTAGCGACTGCCAGCGATTTTTTCCTTGTTCTCCTCTCTCTTCTCTCGTACATTTTCTCCTTGATACCTGCTTTGATCTTGTCATTTGTTTTTTTTAGCGAGCGTTTTCCTTTGTCAGACTTCCGCATCACAACGGCCGGGCCAGGTCTTTTCTTATGGGTACAGCATCTCTGGGAGGCATGCATGTCTGGCATTTCAGGGAAAGACAGGAAAGAACAGCCTCACGGCTCATGAGGCAGGCATCCTCGGTTGGTTTTTTGTTTAATGTCGTGCTGGACGTATAGGTGCGCATCTCTTCACTGAGCATGGCATGCCAACTCATGATTTGATGACGATTTCACGTTCATACGGCCTACTCAGACTGGCATTGAGTGTCAGCAGGATATGCTGAGAGGCCACGACAAAAGTTATACACGCATCTGTGATGCCGCTGTAATAGCTCCATCGCTCTCTTGTGCAAAAGGAGGACCAGGTTGAAGAAGGGATAGGCAGTGCTCGGGGTCGAGACATGAGCACGCCAGCGTCTCTGGCTCTCAGAATGTGGTCCTCTGCGTGCGGAGCAAACACTTCTGATGCACCCCGAAGCCAGGCTTCATCTACTTGGACGTGGGATCTATCTGGAGCACAAGAGAGGTTTAGGGTCATCTCCCTATACTCGCCGGTTGAGCCGGTGCAGTTGAATCCCGATGCTGGCCAGAAGCAAGCTTTTGTTAGCAGTCCAAAGCCTAATAAAAAACACAACTTGACTCGACTACACTATTCCTCCTGAATGGTGCTATGATGGTGATGGTGTACATGTACATGTAGAGCGATGGATGGGTTCTTGTAGGCTTGGTGGGGGGTTCACGGTGCGGCTGGTGACGCATGGACTTGGTAATTCTGGTTGACCAAGGCGCTGGAATGGTCTGGGGCAGTAACTTGTCCAGAATCTAGATGCTATCATGGGCGAAAGTATTGCATCCACGGATGACCCCACCTTGGACTCGGCAGTGTCGTCAGTCTTTGTGTGTTTTCGCTGATGATTGTTTCGCCAACCAGGCCGCCCTGGAGGTCGAAACATGACGCCTTTTTTTCCGTTTGGCAGTTGGCTTTCTACGCATTGCGACAAAGCTTTACCCATCCATCTTTCCTATCGTCACCTGTCTGTCACCTCCAACGACGATTGACTTCACACGGCCACAGATTGCCCATTGCACCTCGAGCCCCTTTGTCCACCTCGCAGCGATGCTATATGCCCCTCCTTCCCTGGCATAGTAGTAGGTAGTGTGTTGCGTAGTTGGGTACGTCCCAGTACGTACTGTAGATGAGCTCTGGACGGACATGGAGCGCCACGGTTCCTCTGCACCGGCCAGGATGCCGCCTGCCGACCCGCCTGTGGACTCGCCTGAGCCTGTGAGTTTCGTCGTTCCCTCGTTCGTTCCCGCACACGGCTCCACCACGCCCTTGTGCCTTTTGCTGCGCTGCAACTGCTAGGTACATACCTACCGCGGTCCCACGCTCCGAACATGTTCGCAAAGCATCATGACACTGACGCAGCGCCCCGTGGACATACTGTAGGACGCAAACGCAAATGCAGACGCAGACGCAGACGCAGCAGAGATAGACGCTGGACAGCCGCCATCCTTCATCTCGGCCCTGCGAGAACTCGCGAGCCCTGTCAACCAGGACGTCCTTAACCTGGCCGCGACGCTGGGCCGCCGTTCCGCCGACGGCAACCACGACAGTAGCGACGACGATAGCGACGACGACAACGACAACGACTACAACAACGACAACGACAACGACTACAACAACGACAACGACAGCGACATCGGCCTCGCCATCACCATCACCCAGGGCCCCGCCACCCGCCCGCAAGTATTGCACAACGCCCAACAGCAGGAATACGACGACCTGCGCCGTGTGCAAGAGCACGACCAACTGTGGCTGCATCGCGTCATGAGCCGCCTCAGCCGCCTGAGCGACAACACCACCACCACGGCTGCCTATGGTGACCGTGTGCCCAACCAGAACAGCCTGTACGACTGGTCGCCTGCCAACGAGGCCGCCCGTGACGACGCCGACAACGACGACGTCGAAGACGACCCCAACAACAGCAACAACAACAACAGCAACAGCAACAACGACCTGCTGGAGCACATCCTCGCCGAGCTGCGCCGCGAACAGCCCAACACGCCATCCGAAATCCTGCGCGTACTGGGACAATCACAGCTGGACTCGGACAGGGCACGCATCCTCTCCTTAGCGAACCGGCTGCAGAATCCGACCCCGGGCGCAGGCAGCGCGGGCGGTGCGGGCGAGTCGCTGCGGTCGACGGCCATACTGCAGTCGGTGCGCAGACACCCACGCTTCTCTGCGCGGACGAGGGAGTACTTGCAGCGCCATCAGACCGACCGACACCAGGCGGCGGCGGCGGCCAGTCGAAACAGCCAGCAGGGCGACGAGGCGGCGCGTTCCCCAACTATGCAGCGACTGTCTGAAGGCCGGTTCTCGCTCGACCGCGAGAGGCGGGACATGCTATCGAGAGCAGATTCGTATAGAAGAGGCTACCTCGACCGGACGTCCACGCATGCCACGCCCCCCGCGCCCACGGTATCCTCCGTGCTCGAGCACACGGTCAAGTACCTCTCGCGCATACGCCACTCCAACTCGATTGACGACAGCCTCAACTGTGCACTCGATGCGGGCTTCCTGAGCAAGGACTACTTCAGCCCCGACACCGACTTCATCACAGATACTTCCGTAATCCCCCAGCCTGCAGAGACATCATGGCTCACCCCTGGCGCCGTGCTCTCCGGCTGTCAACACGCCTGGCGTACCAGCGTCGCCACAATTGTGACCAGCCCCCCCGCTGCCGGCACCTCCAACGCCCTGCACCGGTTACGCCTTCTCGACGAGCTCAGGCAGCGCACCCCCTACCACTCTCCCCGCACTCCCTCCACCGTCCCGCCCCTGGATCTCCAACCCCTACGCCACCACCCGCAGTCCCTCGCAACGACTCGCTGAGTCCCAACAGCCGTCCAAACATCAAGACCCCTGGCCGGTCAAAGTCACCATCCACGCCGTAGACTGGGAGAAAATGTCCCTCTCTGCCACCATGAAAGCGTATAACGTACCTTCGCCACCCCACACCCACCAGTCCATCCTCGGCACCTCTTCCTTGGTCTCACAGACACCTTCGAATCCATCCAGCATGCGCACCTCAAGCGTAACCACCTTCCTTGAAGGCGAAATTCTCGACTTCAACACCCACACTCTCCTTACCGAGTCCTTCAAATCCACACCTGCTAATGATGCAACCTACTGGCGCAAACTGCCCCCCTTTGCCAGCATGAGCGACGAAGAGATGGTGCGCGCACTGACGAGTCGGCGCTGGTTTGAAGAAGTCTTGGGTCGAGAGTGGATCCTCATGCGGTGGAAGGAACGATGTTTCGTCAAGAGTCTGAATAAGTGTTCTGCGAATCCCGACTTCCAAGCGCCTCAAAGCACAACGACATCGACGTCGTTGGGCGGCAGAGCCTGGCCCTTGTCCCAATACACGCATCCGCCTCCCTCTACATCCTCTTCATCATCAACATCGACATCAACACCACAGCCCCGCATGCCCGCCTCGCCCTACCGCATAGTCCGCAACTCCCAAACGGGCCGCGCCGAAGTCGAGATCTCGCAGTCGCTTCTAGCCAATGACCTATCAGAGGAAATGAGTGGTGCTCGTAGCAACAATGATGCAGAACACGCTACGTTTGATGATAGCGGTTGTGGCCTTACAATTAGTGGCTTTTATTATGTCTGTCTCAGGCGCAGTGATGGCGCATTGGAGGGGCTGTATTATGATCCGCAGACTAGTCTTTATCAATGTTTGAGGTTGGAGAGTCTGAAGGGTGGGGTTAGGGGTGCTTGGGCATTTAGATGATGGCGTGGCTGGGAGTGGAGGATGCATGGGGATTGCAGCGGAGGAGGAGGATGAAGATGAGGTGCTGGTGCTGGTGATATCAAACTCTGCATGTATTGGCGTTATAAAGGAAGATTCCGGATTCTGGGTTTGCCCGTTCTGAGGCTTGTCTTTCTTCCTTTCTTTTCCCGCTTTCCTAGACTGTGTGGGACTGGGGAGAAGAGTCACTTGGCCTTGTATGTCTCGTGTCGTTGTTGTGGGAATACGTGTATATCTCTGCATCCGCTTTGTACCATATCAAATCTTGTGTTGCCTATCCTGTGCATGAGTGCACATTCTCTACATGCTGAAAATGGGAGGACTGTACAACTAACTAGATGACTTGGCGGATGCTTACAGTCCAGAGTTTCTACATGTTGTGTTCTTCGCCTACCGTACCCGTGATATTTTCATATATCCCATACTTCCTCAACCTCACCTCACCGCCTTCTCTCCACCATATATTCACACCCGCATACACCAACCTAATCGCGCAATCTTCCCACCCCAGCCAACCCCTTCCTTCCGCACCCACCATCCTCCACGTACCCCGATGACGTCTTGTGGCGTCTCTCGCTTTCCACGGCCCCCCTCCCCGCCCCATCACTATCCACCACTATCCGACATTCCAACGCCCGCCCTTTTTTTCTACATCTTCCCATCCTGCTATAATCACCATATAGGCAGCAAAAGTGTACCAGTATCAGTAATCACAAACGCCACACACGCTGTACACGCTGCAAGCAAGCAGACAAGCAAGCAAGTCGCAAGTCGCCGTGGTGCTGGGCGCTGAGGGAATGCATGTGGACCAATCGTGTGGTGCGGAGGGGTAAGCGTTGGCCGCTTTGGGATGCGCGGGTGTGACTGGGCTGGATGCTGGGAGGTGGGAGTGTGGCTGGAGTAGGTGGGTGGGATGGTTGTTGAGGAGGTGTTTTTTGTCCGGGGGCGAAGGAGTCATGCTTCTAACAGTAGCTACCGGCATTGGGGGGCGCGTGTGGAATACCGAATGGTATGTGGTTGGGTGGATTGGCTGGTTGGCTTGTTGTTTGTGTGATGGGGTGGGGTTGGGGAGGTAAGGGGAGGGGGTATAAAGGGTGGAGGTTGTGTGCGTGTGTGGTTGATGTCGATTGTGTATGTTTGGGTTGATAAGATTGAGTAAGAGAAAGAGAAAGAGGAGGACTAAGAACTAAGAGATTTATCGAGGAGTGTGTTAAAAAAAAAGAGAAGGGTATAGACATCAAATCAACCTTCGAATCGAAAAACATTTTGTGCC